GAGCAGAGATTGAGCTGCCCCTCAGGAGGAGCTGCAGCTGCACCCCTGAGTGTCCACATCAAACACAGCAGGACAGTGACCACAGAACTGCTGAAACAGCCTCAAAATCAATGCAAATGCAGTGGGCAGAACAGAAATATTACTCCATGTTATTTTACCTACAGCTCAGTATTAATAAGCTGGATTTAGAGATAAAGATTCTTCCCCAGAGCTGACTAAGTGACCTTCACCCCCAGATGAAGTGCAGTGCTGTGCAGACTTTAACTGCAGGTTCTATCAGCTCAGACAGGTCACCCCTGACAGGACCCCCGAGTTCCCCCTGCGTGTCCCACCTGTCCTGGGCTCCTTCATGGGCCGGCACACCGTCCACTGGTTCTGGTGGGGGTCGTATCTCTCGATGCTGGACAGGTGGGACACCCCGTTGTGTCCCCCCACCACGAAGATGAAGCCCAGCATGACCCCCACGCCGAAGTTGATGCGCTTGTCAGCCATGGAGGCCACGGTCTCCCAGGAGTTCTTGCTTGGATCGTAGCGCTCCATGCTGCAGGGACAAACACAGCCTCTGTCACAGGCACAGCCAGTCCTGCCCAGCACAGGAACAGTGAAACACAAAGGCAGGTGCTGGAGCTGATGGACAATCCCCTGGTGCAGCTGCTTTGCAGCACCAACAGACCGTGTGTTACCACCTCGGAAGCACCAATCCTGTCCCAGGGTCCTTCCACAACCAAAGCAGGTGGAGGGGCCCAACAGGGTTGCCAAAAACCATTTTTTTAACATATTTTTGTAACATTTTCAGTCTAAGTTTGGACTCCATGATCTCAGAGGCCTTTTCCCACCTCAGTGATTCTGTGATGTTTCCCCCTGACACACTGACTGCAGCTCAGCCTCCCTGATGTCCTCGTGCCACTGTCCTGGACCTTCAGGTCACACCCTGAAACCACCCAAGCTCCCTCAGAGGTGAAAGCTCTTTCCAGGATGTCTGGTGCTAATTTTTTTAAAAATAAACTCATGGAAAACTGAACACAACGCAGACCCAGAATGCATCTATTTGGGTAACACAGCAAATCAAAAACTTCCTTGAGGTTTGCCTGAAAATAACATTCAGAGAGGAAAGTAGAGAGTGTATTTATATTCCTCAGGAAAAGCAGTAAAGAGGCTGCTGATCCAACACTGAGGGTAGTAGAGGGATTGAATGGAAATGAACTGTCATCATTATTAATTTTTGTGATCACTGGAGCTGTACAGATGGTCAGTCATTAACACACTAGTGGCACTGAGCTGTTCCCTGTCCAAGTGCAGCTCCAGGAGCACAACAGGGCAAAAAAAAGGGGGAGAGAAGATCATCAGCAGCAGAGAGTTGAGAGAAAAGGTGGTTAATTACCCAGCACTGTGCTTGGTTTAATGCCAGAGCTTGTAGGAGCCTGCATGGCAAGGTGTAGGATTCACTTCTTGAGTAATTAATCCAAATTATTCACAGAATCACAGAATATCCTGAGCTGGAAGGGACCCACAAGGCCCATCCAGTCCAACTCCTGACCCTGCACAGGCTCATCTGCAGGGGTCACCCCCTGTGCCCCAGAGGATCATCCAAACCCTCCTGGAGCTCTGGCAGCCTTGGGGCCGTGCCCACTGCCCTGGGCAGCCTGGGCAGTGCCAACCACCCTCTGGGGGAAGAACCTTTCCCTGAGATCCACCCTGAGCCTGCCCTG